GGAGCAGAATTGCTGAATCATACAGGAACTCCAAGTTTAAGAACTGCTGAACTATTTTCCGAAGTGGCTGTATCATTTTCCATTCCCACTAGCAATGTATAGCGTTCCACTATCTCTGCATTCTCACCAACACTTGAGATTGTCCAGCTTTTTCATTATAGCCATCCTAGTTGGTATAAAGGAGTATCTCATTATGGTTTTGATTTGCATTTCTGTAAGAACTCATGATGTTAGCATTTTTTCATGTGCTTACTGGCCATTTTTAACTCCTATGGAGAAATGTCTATTCATATCTTTGCCATTTTAAATTTTGGTCACTTGTCTTTCTGTTGACTAGTAAGAATTATTATTTTAAAATTCTGGATACAGAATGAGTCCTTTATCAGATATATGATTTGCAAATATTTTCTCCCATATTGTGGGTTGTCTTTTTACTTCCTTGATGGTGTCCTTTGAAGCACAAAGATTCTTAAAATTTTAATGAAGCTGAATTTATCTAATTTTTCTTGTGCTTTTGGTGCCAAATCAAAGACCCATTGCCTAATCTAAGTCATGAAGACTATACTCCTATGTTTTCTTCTAAGAGTTTTATAGATTGTTTCTCCATTTCAGCCTTTGATCCATTTTGAGTTAATTGTTTTCCATGGTTTAAGTAAAGGTCCAACTCAGTTCTTTTGCATGTGGAAGGTCATCTGTCCCTTCATTATTTGTTGAAGAGACTATACTTTCTCCATTGAATTATCTGCTTTCCTTTGATTAATATTTGCATGGTATATTTTCTTTATTTTTTTATTTTCAACTTACTTATATAGTTATGTTTAAAGTGAAGTTTTGGAACAGATCATATGGTCGGGTCATATTTTTTTATTTACTTTATGAATCTCCATATTTTAATTGGTGCATTTAGTCCATTTCCATTTACTGTAATTATGGATATTGTAGGGTTTCAGCCTGACCTTTTCATCTGTTTTCAGTTTGCCACCCAGTTTTTGGTTTCTCCATTTTAGCTTTCCTTCTTCCCATAGGTTATCTGAACATATTTTTAGAATTCCATTTTGATTTATAGATAGTATCTTTGAATGTATCTTTCTATAGCTCTTATAGTTGTTGTTCTAGGTATTATGTTATATATACACAACTCATTATAGTCTACTGAGGTGGACATTTTTCCAGTTCAATCCTATCTTGGGGCCTTGGTGACACATATTTTCAATCTTTTGTTATTTTCTACATGTCTGTGAGGTTCATTTTCTTTTAGTCTGTTTCTCTCTGTTGTTCACACTAGGTAATTTCTATTTTGCTGTCTTCAATTTCATGGACTGTTTCCTCTATCCTCTCCATTCTGCTTTTGAGCCTAACCATTGAATTTTTTAGTTTGGTTATTGTATTTTTTGTTGTAAAATTTTGAACTGGTTTTTCTTTATAGTTTTATTTCTTTGCTAACACTTTCCAATTTTTCATTTGTTTCAAGAGTGTCTTTAATTGTTCACTGAAGCACTTTTATAACAGCTGATTTAAAATTCTTGTCAGATAATTCCAACATAAGTATTAACTCAGTGTTAGCATCTCTTGATTGTTTTTTCTCATTCAAGGTGAGATCTTTCTGGTTCTTGGTATTATGAGTGATTTTTTTATTGAAACCTGGACATTTTGGAGTATTGTGTTAGGAGACTTTGGATTTTATTTAAATATTGTTTTTAACAGCTCTCTTTGGACAACATTTTAGCAGCGAAATTGGTATGCTGCCTCATTATTACCAGGTGGCAGAGGAAGTCCTGTTCTTAACTTGGCCTCAGTCATCATTCCAGGGAAGATGCTCCTTACTTCTGCAGAGTGTGACTGGGGGTTCAGGCTCTCCACTAGTCCTTCACTATCCCACCTTGACTGGAGGGGCACAGGTGCCTTATTACTGCATCTCACCTGGCCTTCAGTGGTTCTGTAGTGAGCATTAGTGGCCTTGTTACCACTGAGAGGTGGTGGACATCCTGACTCCTCACTAGGCTTCCCCTGATACATTCCAAAAGGAGGGGAGGGGTGCCTCATCGCCACCAGATGGGCACGGAAGGCCAGGCTTCTCGCAGGGTCTCCACTGACACCATGCGTTGGGGAGGGCCTTGTTAACGCTGTGGTGACGAGAGCTCTGGCTCCCCACTCAGTCCTCCATGACCCCACCCAGGCAGGGGGTCCTAGCTATCTCATGATTTAGTCTGGTGAGGGTGGAAACCGAGGCTGTCCTCTGCTGATGGGTGGGTGTGGGATGTAGTCTTGTTGTGTTTGGCTGAAGTAGAGCAGTTATTATCTAAGTGTTTAATCCTGCTAGGCAGTTTTTTTCCTGGTCTTGGGGCAGCAGAGAGCAGACTTTCTCTGGGGCTTTGTTTGTGCCCATTGGAGTGTCTGGATTGCTGGATTCTCTGTTACCCAGTCTGAGATGTGAGAGGCAAAAAGAAGTCCCGGGGAGCTCACCTCTGTGCTGGTCCTTGGGTCCCAAGGTTCTAAACACCCTGTCCCTTCCCTCCACTTCTCAGAGTCTTCTTATGTTGTTTTATAAATAATGTCCTGGATTTATCATTGCACTTAGCAGGAGCAATAGGGAAAAGAACATCTATTCCATCTTTCCAGAATTAGAAATCTCAAATATAATGTATGTAGTTTGATTATAGTTTTGCCATGGTTAGAAAGAAAAGAAAATGCCCCTTCTAAAAAATGAAGCAATTTAAAAAATGAAGCAATTTCTACAAGAAAATTTTGACAAAGTTGAGTTATTCAAGACAGAGTGTGCTAAAGTGTACCCTTAAGATATTTTAGGGAAGTGAAATTGTAAATAAGCAAGGAATTTCAAAGAAGGAAGCCGCAGAGTGATCCAGCAGCCAAAAGCATGTTTGTCACATGACATCATTTCTGGTTAGAAAAATATGTTACTAGCTATTATGCAAACCAAGTCAGGTATATAGTACTTTTATTTTTCTTTCTGTTTTTTTACCTCCCTCCTTCTTTCCTTCACTTCTGCTCCCTCTCCTAACTCTTTTCCTTCTTTTCTTTTAACCAGAGAAGGAAAAAGAAGCAGAAAACTGGAGTGGAAGCCGATGGCTGTCCTCTTAACAATAATGTAGTGTTTCCAAAGTGTATTCTATGAAAAACCTGCTTACAGTGTTTACACTGTGATACTCTACTGCAGTATTAGTCCGTTTAAATTTTAAAGATAAAGAGATTCAAGGTCAAATCTGTTTGGAAAATGGTAGATTAGAAAAAGCCAAGTGGAATTTGTTTAAAGCAGGATTTCTCCCAGCCTGTAATATGCTAATATTAATATGCACAGTGAATTTCCAGAGTGAATTTGCGGAGAAGGAGTAAACAGCATGTCCTAAACTCTCAGTATTCACATCCACAGAACAAATTTTTGTGAAATTGCCATAAAGACATTTGTTGGTTAGGCAGCAACCAAGCAATAAAATGGAGCTGCAATGCGTCAAATGGCAAGGGTTCACATAGTAAGTGACTGCTACTCTACACCTGCAAACAAACCCAAAACTATAAACAGCAGACCTGAATGAAAAGCCCAGAAATTAAAGAATTGGTAAGCAGTGATGAACTGATTAAATATAATTTAGAGATGGTATTTTACTTGTATCTAGATTTCTATATTTCATACTTATTCCAGATTGTGATTTTTTTGTTTACATTGAACACTTACAATGATTTAATATTTATGTTGCTATTTTAGAACTTTACATAGAAAAAGCAAAGTTGACAGCCTTAAGTGTTAAATGCTTAGTCTTAGCTAAGAAAAAACTTAAAATTTTCATAATTCAAGATACATTTAGTGGCAGCTATTTAAATTGCAGGCAAATGTCTGGGTAGATTTAAGAGCTAGTCTTGTAAAAGCATACCTATTAAGTGGCATTAAATGTTCCATATTCCAATCTTAATGGCTGATGACCTCTTTAAGAAGGTACTTAAGAAAGCTTTAACTACTTTGAGCTCATTTAATTATATTGTCACTTATGAAATCTTTGTACTCCAAAAAATGTTGGTTGTAAAGTAAAATTTCATAATCAAACCATATTTCTCCTTGATTTGCTAAGTGCAGCAAGGATATAGCATCTACTAGACCCAGATGCTCAGATGATTATGCCCTGTGTGTTATCTGTAGTAAGGGAGAGAAGATGTTATGCCTGCCAACCCAGTGGGGAGATACAGGGATAAAGAAGGAAATCAGTATCTCTCTCATCCTGTATGCAAAATGCCTGTCATTTATGAAACAGCCCTACCAAAGTAATAAAAATCAATTTTGTTTTTGTGATCAATCTATTTCATCAGAGCAAACTGCCATATTTTAAATTGCCATAGAAAAAGGGGACATCCCTAGCAGAGAATAATGACTACAAAAGATAATTTTTTTTTATTGTTCATATAGCTAATTAATCATATAATTAATCAACAAGTCACTTAATAAATAGAAAGCTATTAGTCTAGTACTGTGCTAACAATTAAAGGGATAGAGAGCTGACCACCTAGTAAAAGAAACAAAATCAATACATATAAAACAATGAAAGACAGGGCCAAACATATAACTGTAGTTAAAATATAATAATTTTTGCTTATATTAAAGACAGTTTGTTTAAATAAAATTAACACAATTTTTAGAAGTGTGATATTTGATTGTAATATGTTTCCTTACTTGAGCTTTCAGAGTTTGTAGTTGGCCTTCATAATTCTGAGTCATCACTAAGTTACATTTTTCCAGACTGTCCAGCTTCTGTCTAAGTAGTCCCACCTGCATTAAGAATAAAATTTAATTTTGTTTTTTCTGAATTTTCCCTAACAAAATCAGAAGATGTGCAAGAGAAGAGTACAATTCAAATAAAACTGCTGTACCCAAAAAAAGAATAAATATTTACTGCCATTCTTAAAACAGTGATTAATCATTAAAATCACAAAAACCAAACACGGTCAGCACTATTCCACTGGGTACACATTAGGACAGCTCGGTATGGATGTTTGACAAAAGATTCCTGTCGCCATCACATTTTAAATCAAGGTCTGGAATCTATTCTGCATCACCTTTTTGAGAGGCTTACATCATCATTACTCAGGGAGAACCTCTATGGACACACTTGAGCTCTTACTTGAGGTCCCTCTGCCTTCGGTGGTCACTCTGCTCTGGTGATACCATGGAGTAATTGTTACATTTTTGGAAGAATGAGCAATGTATTAAAAAGAAAAAGGAAAATGTCTAAGAAACGTTCTGAGGATTTGACTTACGGAATTTGTCTGCTTAAAAGGCAAGTGAAGCATCTGTTTACACATCTGGGTCACTACAGGTATAAGGTGTATGAGAGGTCTGATGACTTGGCCCTACCATGCGGGGAGACCAGATGCCCATAACTAAGCTGACTATGCCGAACAATAATGTAGCTAACTAGGCCAAAAACTAAGTTCCACTGAAACATCTGCTGATGTTTCAGTATATGATTAGTGAGCATTTCTCTTATGCCTTACCCATGAGTCAGCTTCACAAAGTCCACATTAGGTGAGCCATCCAGTTTTCCTGAGCTACTCTGCAGGCCTGGGAGCCACTCATACACTCTTCTATAATCACCAGCATGGCTGTAAGCAGCCTCGCAGGGGCCAAGGGCGTCCCTCTTAAGTGGGTGTCAGAAAGACTTACACACCCCCTTGACCAAACTCTTTTCTCCCTTGCCCTACAATCACGTCTGGACATTTCACTCTTTGCAGGAAATATTTTGCTAGTAGATTGGAAGAGGCAGATGACCTTGAACTCTGCTTTGTCCAAAGATATAGCTTTCACAACTACTTCTTTATCTCTACAACAGCAAACGCACTGATGCCTTTGCTTGCAAACAATAATTATTTTAGGTCTATACTGAATGTTTGCTCACTTTTCTAGATGGTGTCAACACTATGTATCTGTCTGCATCAGCAGACTTTTATGGGTTTAGGCTGTGAGTGTCACTTATTTAACAGAACCCATATAACACACTATGACAGAACTTCAATCAATAAATGCTATTGCTAATGCCATGATAAAAAGTATGTGTGATGAAGAACATATTATGATAGAATACTATTTATAACAGTCTGAGGAATTAATGATTTATTAACACATTCAATACCTCTTGACCTTTCTGATCCAGACAAGTTTGTGCATTTGCCAACTCTTGATCCTGAAGATCTAATCGTGTCTCCAAGGCCCGCATCTTCCTTTCCCAATCCAGTTTTTTGTTGCTTACCATGATATCAATTTGTTCCATTAATTCCTGAAGTTCAGCCTCACAAGGAGAAGCTCTGGCAATTGTAGAAAAGTAAAATGCATTTTAAATGAGTGAAAGGTGAGGACAAGAAACATTATTATAATGCTCTGAATAGCTGGATCGTTACTTCCTCAGATTGTTCAATTACGTAAATAGGAAGAAGTCAGAAAGCTAGAGGTTAATTTTTTAAAGTTAAAACTGAAGGTTAATTTCAGAGCTCACAGTGTATATTCAGCACATTAGATATTTTTAAATGACATTTTCTAAAATAGAGTTAGTATCATAATGCAATGCATTGATAACTCACTACTGCCTGCATTTTCTTCTTAGTGCAGACGGTAGCATGTGTATCTCCCTGACACCACAGTTCTGACTTAGACAAGGAAATCGTAAAATGAAAATACATTATGCAGATTATGTCAGAAATAAGGTCACAGTAAAAAGCAAGCTGAAAATTAAGTAAATAGATAAAACAACACTTTCTTTGGAGTGAGATAATTCTAATAAATATTCTAATTATGAAAAATGGCTCAATACTCTTATATGCAAATACTACAGGTACCTCTGGCTATCATAACAGAGGACTTTAGTCACGTGTGTCAGGGGTAGAAAAGCAAGCCTGGGCTAGACACGATCAGATTCAAGGGTGCCACCTGAACGACAGTGCTTCTCCTCCAGGAGGGGAGCCTGGAATCATCTGGCTGGTGTCTGGAAGGAATCTGATCAGGTAGGTGTGGGCAGAGTCATATAAGTCTTTAGACAAAGGGGATACTGGTAACTCAGATAGGTGCAATGTCTGGGCTCTTGGAGGGTCTGTTGTGTTTGAAACAAGACTCTTGGTAGTTGTTAGGATTATAGACCAGAGGCTCATGAGAAGACAGCTTGTTGGGTGATCCCAGGGCAGGGCTCTCCTCCTTCAGAGCAGCTGAAGCATTCCCAGGGACCTGGCATAAACCCAGCCATTGTCCATACGAGTTAAACAGGTAGCTCTTGAGGCCTCAAACTTCAGCCTAAGGAGTACATAAATGTCCAGATTAGGAAAGCAAGTTATTTCAGTGTCCATTCAATGGTGATGAGGGGGCTTCTAACGTATTTGCATAGCCGGAGGAAGGTAGGAGGGAATGACAGGTGCAAAAAGACATTTCCTCTATTTAGTTTCACCACATCAGAATTTTAGGGTTAATTAAGGATCATTTAGCATTGTGAAAAAACAGGCCCAGAGAAATTAAGGTCACACATTAATCAGTAGGAGAGCCAGAACTAGATCCCAGGCAGCTGTCTCCCATTTTAAGCTCCTTCCTGTATACCACACAGCAAAAGACACGGTATTTTACATAAAAACTTGCTTGAAAAATATAGTACAAATTAGCCCCACTGCAGTCGGGTTAGAAATCCAAAGAACTCGGAATTTCCAGAATGACTTTCTAAAGAACCCAGAGGAAACCTAAACAAGGGATGTCCCTCCAATTGGTTCATTCAAAGGCTGACTCACCAGTGTTGACCTCATAGAGGTTTAAGTACAAAGGGCCATTCTGAAGTCTAGCATCCCTGGGCTAAGGCCCAAAGGCTCTGTTTTTATTTAAAACCTAAAACAAACCTGACTAAAGGAAGTATTAATTCCTCTATAAATAACCTGATTGAATTTTAATTGAAGTTATGATGTGGGGAAAAACAAGAGAACAAAAAGACTGGTTTTCATACCATTTTCTTTTTCATAACAACATGGATTGCCCTTCATTGTAAATATACTTTGTCTATTTTTTCTGCTAGTGTAAGCTCTGAAAGAAAAAGCACTATATCAGCCATGCTCATCACCATCTCACCAGGGCTCAGCGCAGTGCCCCAGCACATAGCAGATATCAATAAATCTTTGAAAAATGAACACATGAGTTTTCATTGCTATATCTTTGGCATGTAGGAATGCACCATGCTAATGGAATTAAAATACAGGCCTTAAATAGAATGTGGCATAATGTAAACTATTCAATGAATGTTGCTAAATAAATGAATGAATAGTTTATTTCCTGGTTATCACTATGGTATTCAAATGTTAGGATGTGAGACTTTTACAAGTCATCTAATCCAACTACCCATTCAGTATTTGCATATCTTCTGCAAATGTTTCTTAAGAGACTCATCCATTATACCCCACTGATCAGATTCAGCAGGTCTAGTACAGAGCTGCTGTGCTTTGCATTGGTAACAAAAATATCAAGTGATTCTGGTGCACACAAAGGTATATGATCTATTTGAAAATATCATAGCCAAGAGGTCACTCAGCTTAGGTCTAAATTCTTTCCTTTAGTAGGTAACAACTGTGAGATTGTATTTAGATAGCAATGAGTTTTTAAGTTCTTTTTTACATTGAAGGACTTCAACCACTGTTCCTAATTTGATTAACCATTCAGAGTAAATGCCTTTTCAGTACAACAGATGTTAAAGTACTTCAATACAGTTACCAGTTATTTTTTTTCTTCTCTATGTTAAATATTACGAACTGAATGTACAATGTCCAGAATATATGACAATAGACTCTGACCTACAACCTCTACGTCAATAGTTGAGAATGGTCAGGACTTGGTCAATGACTGACAGCTTCCTTATTTTGCCCCCATGTCCAACTCAGGACCAACTGGAGAAGGCCAGTTATGCCCCAAACCAGTCACATAAGATGCCCTGCTTCTACTTAGCCTGCTTTCAGCTTCCCTGTGCCAACAGTCTCTAGTCAGAATACACTGGAGGCCTTTTCTCATTTGCTATAAAGCTTTCCCACTCCCCTGCCTGCTTCGGAGCCTCTGCCAAATGCAAGTGATGGTGGCTGACTCCCTTGCTACATAGCAAGCTCTGAATTAATGGGCTTCATTTGTTCTCATCTGAGGGGTCTCTGTTTATTTCCACAAGTGTCTATTTCCTTCAATTGCTCATAAATTTTTTTTCTCCACCACTCAGTAACCTACTATAGTATCTGAAAAATACTAGATGTTTAACATACATTTGTTGAATGAATGAAAAAGTGAATGATGATGGTAAGATTTTCAGACCCTTCATAATCCTGGTGGCTTTCCTCTGAACAAGTTCCTGTTTGTTGATTTCCATCTTGAAATGTGCCATTCAGAACCTTACATAATATCCTAAATGTGGACTAACAGCTTGGAGAGGGACTCTCAGACTTTGTTTTCCGGGCTGTATACTTTTATTCAAGCAGCTGAAGATCACCTTAGCTTGGAATTTGGGAGGCTTGACGGGCAAAGCAGTGCTAACACACCATTTCAAGGTGAGTTTATTCTTGTCCGAACACATTCTTTTTCATGCACACTACAAGTAAAGCCACCTAGTCACCATCTTGCGCCTGTTTAGTATTTTAGGGATGCTCCACAGCCAGGGATTTATATTTATCCTTATTAAATTTCAGCTTGATAGTTTCAGCCTCTCAATATGGATGGTCATCACTAGTTCCTTAAAGAGGTAAAGATTCATTAAGTGACTGCTGCCCACTCTGTGAAAAACTGGGAAAAGAGAGACACAGAAGAACTTTCTGTACACAGAGAGACTTTCAAGGCAGGTATAAGAAGAGCCTGATGAACACATGCAGCTCCTTTGGGAACAGAAAAGAAGGCACCGAATGCAGACAGGGAAGACTACCATAGAAACCTTCCTAAGGTGGTAACTTACGTTAAGCTAAGGTGAGCTTGTGTTTTGACATCCTGTTTCTGTCAGAGAATGTATTCACTATACCTCCCAGTTTTGTGTCAGCTGAAGATCTGATAAACACTATTTGGTTTTTATATATATGTTCTTTCATCCAAGTGATTATAAAATCACAAAGGACAGGATGAAGGACAGAGCCCCAAGGCATTCCACTACCAAGTCCTTCAGGGAAAAGGGCTTTTATTATTATTTCTTTTATAATAATCAGATGAGAGTCCACTTAATTAACCTTACAATTTTTTCTTTTCCTCCCACAAAAAACGTCATGAAAAGCCCTGTAAGATATCAGGCCGAAGCTCAAATACAACTCTATCTCTATGTTCCTGATGCACCAGCATAGGAGGCCCGTGAATTCACGCTGGTCTGGCATGCAGAGATGAGGGTGCATCCACGCTGAGTCCTGGTGGCCACGGCTTCCTCCCTGGGTTGCTCACAAATACCAGTGATTTCTTCCAGTCTTACCTAAGATTTGGTCAAACTCACTTTTACATTAAACTAAGCTTTTTGTCAAAGTTAATATTTTTGTTTGAAATTCAGTTGCCCAATCATTCAATATATCTTCCTTTCTTTAGTTTTTCAGAGATAATTAATAGCAGTTTGGCTGTCTCATTAACAATAACACTTGTTCCTATATCTAGTGAACTTTAAAATGAAATTCAAAAGACTTACTGAGCCTCCTTCGCAGAGCTGGGCACCAACATTTCTTTTTTCATTTTTTCCTTTAGTCAAATGCTGACCAACACAATGCTAATTACTTTCTTGTACTTCTTCTCATGGATCCCCACAACATCCCATAAAGTAGGTTTTATTATGCCAATTTTAGAAGAGTTAATTGAGAAGCTAAAAAAGAACAGAAATCCTCCAAGCCTTCCAACTTTGGAGACTGGATGGATTTGCCTATATACTACTTAAGACATGCAAACCATGGCTCTTGCTAATGGGTTTATCCTTGGGAGAAACTCACAAGAGAAGGATCCTGAGTCAGGCTGGAGGTCTAAATGCATTAACCGGGAGGAAGGGAGCATGCTAAGACTTTCAGGGTGTTATACCAGTCTGGGGAGCCTAGAGTCAGAGTATCAGGATATCAAGTTGTGAGATGAAGAGAAAGCAAAATGAGAAATGGATATAATGGAGGCAGTAGTGGCAAGTACGTTGGGAGGGGCAGGGGAATGTAACGTGAAGAGAATCATTCAGAGTGAAAAGAGCTGGGGTAAGATTCGTGGACATACAGCCACTCGACTGTCCTGTGACATATCAGCTTGCATGCCGGTTCTTAAAAGGGCAGATCTTCATCAGACAGACACCTGTGGGGACCATGTGATCTGTTATCCAAATTAGGACGATTTTGAGAGAATATCTCCTGGACAATAGGAGACTACCTCATGCAAAAAAAGACTATTTCATGAAAATGAGTTTTAAAAGGCTGATGAGCAATGTGAACAACCATATTAGGTCTCAACTTTTTCAAATACTTTAAATGAAACTGATTCTAAAATGTATTAACATATTGTCTCAGTTATATTACATTTAGCTAAGCTAAATATAATTTAATTTCTCTGTGATGGTTTACAGACCCTATTCTGTACACCAAACACAGCGCCACATCAGAAACATACATGGAAGCAAACAGGAGAGGCTCCAGGAGAAGTGCTCGAACTCACTTTCACAGATGTGCCTGTGGGGTCAGCCTGCTCTTTAGTCAATTGTCTCTCCTAATCAGTAAAGTGGAATATTTATTTCTTCATGACTTTTAGGTCATAGTTTCATGGCTGCCCTTGTTCAAAATTAATTATTGTATTATAGCTAAAAATAGGTTTTCCTTAAGCACTTTCCTTGTTTCCCAAAAATGTTATTTACTGTCATCTTTGGAGTTGCTGACTTAGCAGCATTATAATATCTACTTACTGTGCATTTGAGATGGTGACCCATATTCAGTCCATTCTTCTCCTTTGCAATAAGCTTAATGTTGGGGTGTGAAGGAGGTATAAAATTTCACTATTCTGAAAAATCATGTACTTATAAAGGTCTTACTCTAACACCTTCCTCATCATACTCAAAGAAAGACATTTATGGAAATAAAATGCAATGCAATAGCTCCCAAGTCCCTATCAGTGTTTTATCAGAATTCTACGTACTACATACAAATTTAAAGTCTCATTTTTTTAAGTTCTAAAATGAATGGAAAATCTGTTAAGATACCTACATTCGGGTAAACTTTTTCCTGAAACTTTTTCTATAGTAACTACTCATATCTGAGTAACATCTTGGTTTAGAGACTGAATGAGGTAAGAAGGCAGTGAAATATAAGCAAGCCCAAACCTTTTATCTTCAGGCTGGTTTTTACAGTTATCTAGAAATGTAAGTAACTCCACTATCCATAAACTTATATATCTGAAATATTATTTCATATTGATGCATAGAAATGTATGATACAATTAATAATAAACATTTACCTATATGTGGACTAGCTTAGATCCTATAAACCAATCTCTAGGACAATTAAAAATCCCTTGACAAAATCAGGAAAAGTAGAATACAAACAAAAAAATTAACTTATATTTATGAGTTATTTTATAAAACAAATTCATGCAATTTACATTGATTTAACATCCACAAACCCCATACACTGAGGAATGTAATGCTGAATATGTAAAACAGAAACTGCTTGAAATACAAGAAGATTTGGACAAAACCAATTATAATAAAGATCTTTCTTAAAATTTGATTAAATAGATAAAAATGTAACTATATTTGAAAAACATAATTTAAACATAATATGGTAAATAATAATAAAGTAAAAGGCCTGATTGTATATGTAACTTTTAATTAGACAATTGAAAATATACATTTGTTTTCAAATGCCCAGAGAACATTTATAAAAGTTGATCATGCAATAGTTTAAAAAATAATCTTAATGAAATTGAAATATCATATAGACTATACTCTATAACCATGGTGTTAGGGGGATCAGAGAGTAATAATAAAAAGATAATTAGGCCTCCCCACCCCCAGAAGTTTCATCTCCTATTTCTTGAGTCAAAGAAGAAATCAAAATTGAAATAATAAGCTATTTAGAAAATACTAAGTAGCATAGTGGGAAAACTAATCCTATGGCCCACAGCAAAGATGTGGTCAAGAGGAACTTTAGTTCTAAATACCTTTATTATTTAAGGAAATCATGAAATCAGAAATCATGAAAAGAACTGAACCATATTTTCCAACTCAAAAATAAGAAGAACAAGATAATTAAAATAAATTATAAAAGGCTAAATTAATAAGAGCAGCAATTCATGAACAAGAAAACAAGCAAAATCTAGACATGGTTCTCTTTAAAAAACCAATAAGAATAGTTTTTATTTATTCTATAATTATGTTTTGGGCACACATGCATTCTAAAAAAAAAAGGATGAACTCACTTAAATGTAACTATTTCAATTAGGAGGAGTTTAGATTGATTGTTATGGCACAAACATAAACACCTATAATTGGGAGAAACCATGGATAAATTAAAACCAAACCCTGTTATAACCCAGATGTCAGAGAATAGTGATTCACCCACATTGTAAGTATTCTGTGTAAAAGCTCCCATTCTCACCCTTGCACTTTCTGTTCCTGCTCTCTGGAACTCTCTTTTCCTATGTAATCTCTCTCCAAATGCCACTTTACAAGGGAATCCTTGTTTGACCACTCCATTCACCTTCTTCCTATCACCCTATGAAAATGTTTGTATCTCCCACTTATAAGTGGGAGCGTATAAGTGGGAAGTGGTCTGTTTTGTTCACCACTGTATTCCTGGTGCTCACATCAATTAATGGCTCATAGTAAATGCTAGATGAATATTTGATAAATTAAGGTTGCTCCACAAAACATTACTGTGTATGTAGGTGACATGGTCTGATAAGACTACATAACATGACCCAGATGAATGAGATTTTATTGTCTTTATGATCTAGATTTTTACACATTTCTCAACAGCTTGCAGGACAGAGACAAAGCCAATCTGTCTCTCCATGCTTTGGAAACCACGGGAGGTGATGTCTAGTCCTATGTCTGCTGTAATGAGTGGGGTAATTCTTCATTGAAACCTCCAGGAATTCTCATCTGCTTCTGATTTGTAATTATGCTGTACTCAAACAAGCTCTATGGTTCCCTACTAAATTCTAAGTTCTTTAAGGTCTATTTCTTAATGTTCTTTGTATGAACCATAGGGCTTAGTGTTGTGCCTGGCATATATCATTTTTTTTCTTCCAAATCAGTGAATGAAGAGAAATAGCAGTCTCCATGGCCTCACATTTGCAGGAATGAAGTGATATCTGGTACCCAACCTTAGGTCCAAGACCTTCAAACTGCATCTTAGCCCATAGTGCTATCATCACATCAGGGACAACACCTGCTCAGTCCAGAATCCTAACCTGGCACTGCTACAGATACCAAGTAGGCTGCTTTCTGGGTCTCATTGCCATCCATTTCCAACATAGCAAAGAATGCAGGGATTGGAGCCAGAAACATCTGCATTCCAATCCTACCTCCTCCATGAACCAGATGTATATTCTGGGGTATGTTCCTGCTTTATTTCACTTTTTTCTACCTTTCTGAGCTCAGCATGACAGAGGCTGTTAGTTGTCCACCAATATCCTTTCTTCTTCTTTTTATTATAGAACTTCTAAGCTTTAGCTGGTCATATGGCTGCCCATTTAGAGGTCACATTTCTCAGCCTTCCTTGAAGCTAACTGTAGTGCTGAGACTAGGCTCTGGCCAATGGGAAGTGAACAGAAGTGAGGCCTCCACTTCCAGGTCTTACTCTGTCTTTTTACTGTTTCTCCTCCCCTCTGGCAGAGCACAGCCATGATGGCAGAGCCGACGCAATCTCTTGGAGCCCAGAGATGGAAATCATATGGTAAGGGTGGCAGTGCTGGCCTACCAGTCCCAGTCTGCTTATCCCTGGACTTGTACAGGAAACAGAAACAAACTTCAATCTTATTTAAACCACTGTATTTTGGGGTCTCTCTGTTCCAAGAGCTTAGACTACAACTAATACATTTAATTTTCTTGGTTGTAAAGTAAGAATGATACCTAGCAGAACTGCTGTAAGAAGGAGTATGCAGTAGGAGTTTAAAAAGTGATAGCTATCCAGATTCGTGCAACTTTCCTCTAGCCTGATGTCAAAGTGATGGTCTGAGCAGAATAACTGAAAGTGAGACACCTAACGCGGTTTCATTAGTGCCAAAGTCAGTCACAGTCAACACCCCACCTGGACACACAGCCTTGTTCCCCCCCACCCATTAGTTGGCTAATGAAATGATAGGAAGACAAAGCACCACCTTTGTGGTGCTGGTAGCAAGGAAGGGGTAGGGACAAATATTGGTGAAAAGGAAGTTAACTTTTTACAATGCCAAATTCTATACACGGTCAATACCTTATCTCTTCTTGAAACTTTTGGTAACTTATTGAGTTCTTGTTGCTGTTCAAGGAGCGATATGTGTTTTCAGGCCATGTTAAGTGTTGAGTTCAGCCTTAGGAGCAGTTGTGGAGGGAAGACTGGGACACTTGAGGCAGCAAGGAAGGAGCAAGCTGGCTAGGAGCTGCTGCCCTGTGGAAGCCCAAGAGCACATGAGGCCTGGGCGGGCACCCATCACCCTAAAACACTGGGAAAACTCATGAAAAGTTGGAAAATGGTGATTTCCAAGTGCAGATGCATAGTCAAAATTGGAAACGTAGACACTATAAAGTCTTAGAGTTACTTAAATTTCCTCCCCACTTTCCTCACCAAAAATAATTGGCACACTCCTCTATTAATACTCAATTTCAAAATTCATATATGATCAAGGAGGTTTTGGCATAGTGAAGCACCAAATTATTAAGTAAAAAATTTCAGCACTTACCCTGTTGTATTATGGGCTTTGTTCTCCATGTCAAGAATCTGCTGTGCCTGGTCTATAATTCTTGAATTTTAATCTGTTAGGGGGAAAAATGATGTAGACTCCTAAAATACTTATATTTATTAACCTGTTAAACAAGAAAAAAGAAAATTCTGCTATTGGCAAAGCATGGAGTATGAATTTTTCTGAGTGTAGAAGCTCATGATTCTATGAAATGTATACATTTGGTGGTTTTTTT